AATAAAATCTATACAACTCCTTTACATATACAAAAAGCATTACAAGTAATATATTAAATTAAATTTATTTTTATATAATATATAATAAATAATAAATTTTATTTTTTAAAAAAGTTTATTTTTTTATAATTTTTAGATCTTAGCTATAAAATTTAAACTACCTTTTTTTGAAACTCATCGCTATACAAGAGATAATTATATTTATTGTAAAATTTATAAAATTATTGAAACTAATACTTTTTGAAATCAAATTAAAGATTTAGTTAAAATTCTTATACCATATTGCAAGTTACTTAATATGCTTTAACAAGATAAAGCCTGTTTATTTGAAGTTACTTTTAGTATAGCTTATCTTGTACAGTTTTAGATATCAAATTCTAATGATTGTTTAGTAACACAATTAATTAGAAGACTTGAATAACATTGGAATGAATAGGAATAGCCAATTTTATCATTATCAGTAATTTTACATCCCAAATATAGAATGAGTCAATTTCAAGTTACAGCAACTAATATTAGTTATTCTACTTTTGGAAATTGGCTAAATTATTATTATTGTGCATGAGCAGGCCAAGAACCAAAATGTATTCTTCATGAATTTAATAATTTTTATTTAAAAAATTCTCCTTTTGATGATTAAACTTATCAACAGTTTGAAGATGAAGATGTTTTATCTTATTAGTATTATGTCAAAGATACAACTAATGAATTGGAACTTGTGGAATATAGAATTTTTAGTATTTGTATTAATGCTACTTCAGTAGAATGATTATGGAGCTGTATAGATTTTATTCAAATAAAATGCAAAATTGATTAATAGTAAGCAATATTAGTAAATTTGCGAAATTGAGTTTATTTGTAATTAAAAGATAAATAAATTTTATTTAATATATATTTTTATATATATATATATGTATATAAAAATAATTTGAAATAATTAACAATAACGATACAAAAATTTTGTACATATTATAATTGCTATTGTTAATTAATCCTGAAATTATTTTTATATATCAGATATACTGAATAATTAATTATGAGAAAAATTAATTGTAATTATTATTAATTGAATTCAATTATAGATAATTGATTAGTAGTATAGCTACAATAAGTCAATTAGTTGCAATTTTAGGTGTGATAAATTATTTGTGTAAGAATAATATAATTAATTAGTAATTTCTTATTTGTTCTATATAATAATTTATCACACCAATATTACAATAGAAATTAATTGCAATTATTTTTTATCATTAATTGGTTATGACAGTAATTATAATTAGATATAATTGTATAATAATTGAGTTGCAATTAATTTTTTAATAAACCTAATTTCATTGAATTTTTTATTTAATAGCAGTAAGAATTCTGAATTTTCCTTTGCAATATTTATTTATATATTTTAGATACAAAAAGTACTTGATATTAGTAAATTGTATTCTGATATAACTTATCAACATCATCGTGAACTAGATAATCTCTTTTCTACTTTTTTAAATACTGCATTAACATATAATAATACTGCAACTCAAATAATACATGATAATACTACAACTCAAGCAACACATGATAATACTACAACCCAAATAACACATAATAATACTAATTTATTAAATGCAGAAATATCAGATATCGATATAGCTAATAGTAATAATAATATTAGTTTATTAAATAAAATACAAAACGAGTATTTAGATAAAAATAATAAAGAAATTGAAGATAATGAAGAATGTGATTTGACTTATATTTCTAAGACAGAATTTGGTGAGTATCTTCAAGAGTGAGTAGAAATATTAAATAAAGAGGAAGAGATGATATAATCAAAGATCAAGATGACTTATAGAGTTAGATAATAGTACTCACTCAGCTCTAGATAAAGATGTGAAATAGAAATTATCTGATTTATTTTGTTCTTTAGATCTTTTATTTCACTAAATTTATTAAGACAAATAATATTTTAAATTAGTTATAATTGTCAAAATAATATCAGAATAGTAGGAAAAAGATAATTAGCAATAAAAATAAATAGGTTATTCGATTTATTATTATTATTATTATTTTTTATTATAAATTATACTCTATAATAAATTATCTTCATTTGATAGTAAAAAGATTGCAATATTTAGAATTTGATTATAAAGTTATAAATATGGGTTTAGATAGTATGACTTTATCAAAATAGCAGGTATCTAAATTAATATTAATAGTACAATATTAACAAAAAAAAGTTAAAAACAGTTTCTTTTTTTCAGAATTAAACTAATTAGTTAAATTTGAAATTGTATTTAAACTTTTAATCATAGAATAAATTTACTTAACAGAAAATATTTTAAAGGGTTTGAACTATAATGAGTATTTAAATTAACTCATAGTTTATACTTCAATTTATAAACATTTTATAGCAGACCATCTTTTTTTATCTCTGTTTTGACAAAATTTACAACTAATTAAGTATTCAAAGAGATTGCATAAGTAACCTTATTATGCAACAATTGAATATTAATAAACTAAATGTAATTTTTTTTTTTTTTTTTTTTTTTTTTAAGCAAAAACTATTCTTGGTAATTTTATTGATAATAATATGT